CTGCCCTCTGGTGGTGACGTGTGACGGTGTGTGGGGACACGATGCCAACGTGTTCATCGCCCACATGGCTCATGCGCTGTTGGAGAAGGAGGGGTGGAAGGGTCGGGGGTTCAGTCATGTGTCTGAATGGATTCGCTCTCGCTTGTCTATCGCCCTCGCGCGTGCGACTAGCTTTTGTCTGCGTGGGGGAGGGAGGGAAGGGTTTGCGGGACTGGGGTGTGCTGATGGGGCGGGGATTGATCCCTCCTCCCCTTGAGCCTGTTTGACTCTGCGTGCTGATGGGACTGTATTTGTATGAGTATCACGGACACACAGACGAGTGTTACGGTTAATGACAGTTTCCCCCCTCATCATACCCATGGGAATGATCATCATAGCCATGGGAATGATAGCCTGGCCGGCCAGTTATTTCCCCGGCCAGGGACACAACACTTGGCTTGAGCGTCATCTTCACCCACGCACGCCACTGTTCTTTTCATTTGAGAAATGAGTCATGACCGCCGCTTTTGCCTCTTTGAATCATGAGAAACGGAGGCTACACCTCACACTGAAGAGAAGGCCTTGAAAGAGTGCTGCTGTCTCTCTGGCTCATTTGTGATGAAGCTGCGGCTGCCTACCCGCTGCGGTGCATGGCAGTGCCCATCAGCACAAAGAGAAACTTTAAGGTGGCCTACAGAGAGGAAGAGAGAGAGTCAAAAGCGCAGTATATATGATCCGCCAGGTACACACCTTCGGTCACATCCTTCCGCTGATGGCAGCGGCCGTGGGTGGTGTCGTTGACCAGCTGCCCTGGGCGCTGAAGACGACCACCACGCGCGAAGGGCGTTAGGAGCGCCATGCCGATGGCGCACCCGGCCTTGAGTGAATGCGGCGGACGAATGGGTCGACAGAGTGCCTGCCGGGCAGCGAGTCGGGCAGCTCTGCTGCCAAATGACAAATCGAAGGCAAACAGGAAAGCAGAGAAGAGGGAGCGTCGTTGAAGGAGAGAGAGCTCAGTTCATGACGAAAAAAAGAGAGCAGCGGACGCCGTCTCCCCTGTCTCGCGTCGAGAATTCTCGCCGGTTCTGTAGTCCAGTTCGAAAGACATGGAGAAACCGTGTTTGGAATGTAATTCTTCAGAGGCACTCTCAGCGAAGTCGACCCTAGGGTGCTGCTTGAAACCGCTCCTTCTCCCCCCTAGATTCAAAGCTCGCAATTTTCTGAGAGGCGCCGTTTGCGCGGATCTGCACCGTGCCGTGCTTCCAAGGTGGGACGATGCAACGGTCTACAATGCGTTCCATTACCCGTCGGCTCTTTCCTCTCATCCACGTCCGGCACATCCGAACCGCACCCAGATCAGCCACCCCGACTCATCCAAAGAAGAGGCCGCAGACACCAGATGCAGCCACGGCTGACCTGTGGTCGCCCTATCGCTTCGAAGATCTGGGTGGCGGCATCCATCCCATCCTCATCGAAGCGATGCGCGCGCAGGGCATCGACCGGCCCACCACCATCCAGCAACGCTCCTACAACCTGCTTGCAGAGGGCCGGGACTGCGTGGTGGCGTCTGAAACGGGCAGCGGCAAGACGCTTGCCTACCTGTTGCCGCTGCTGAACCAGCTGTATCACGTGCACGACTTGGTGGAGGCGTCGAGGGCTGCGCAGGACGGGCAGGTGAACCCTCTGAAGGAGCTGAGGCCGTGGGTGGTGCTGGCGCCCACACGCGACCTCTGTGCACAGGTGAGAGGGAGAGGGGGACAGGGCGGGCGTGTCTGCTCATCCATCAGCCTGTGTTGTGTACAGATATGTCAGATGGCTCAGTCGATTGACCCGCTGGGGCGGCTGTCCATCCAGACACTCGTCGAGCTGCCCAAGTTCCCACACTCCAGGTACGTCACACGTCACACAGAAGAGTACCCAGACCCATCAGTCTGCCTGTCTGATTGGTTCCACCATCAACAGGGCAGGTGTCGATCCCTTCCGCGTCCCTACCGGACCGTTGCCGAAGCATCTGCGGCACCTGCGGGGCATCGACCCATCCGACAGTGTGCTGCAGGACCTGTCGCTGCAGCGACAGCCACAGCCCGTCATCGTGGCCCCGAGGATCAGGTGGGGCGCCGTCGACCTGGTCGTCACCATGCCCATCAAGCTCCTGCAGGACCTCCTCAGGTGCGCGTGACCATGTGTGGTGAGTGGGGTGTGGAAACCTGACAGACGGCTGTTTTGTCTTTCTCTGTTTAGGTGTAGGTTTGTGGGCGAGAGTGTGTATCCGTCATGTCTGGTGTTCGATGAGGTGGACGAGCACTTCCAGAGCGTCACCAGGAACCTCAATTTGACATCGTCAAGGTGGGTCACTCACAGAGACCCACATGGCGCTTTTTCTCATGCGTGATCTCTTGCTGTTGACAGCACCTTCGCCCCCGCCCGCCCATCCGTCAATATGACGAGATCCGCCGGCCGCTTTGGCGCCACTAGTCCCCACCCAATTCGTGTTTGTGGGCGCCACACAGCCAACCGGGGGATGGTGCACCACTGGCGCAATGATCATCGAACGGTGACCATCCGACCCATCCTCACAGATGCAGATGGACAGACAGGAGAGGCAAAGATGTGTGCGTGTGTGTGTGTGTGTGTGTGTGTGTGTCAGGTTCCACGTGGCCGAGCAGCTGTGGACGGCGGGTCTGCACGCCATCTCGCCTTTGGTGAGTCAGCGGTGGCTGGAGGTGCCGGCCGACAAGAACACCTTCGAGCAGAAGCTCGACATGCTCCTGACGGTCCTGAACCAGATGCCAAAGGACAGAACACTCACCTGTCCGTTTGTGTTTCAGACATCGCTGCTTACATTTTATATCTGATGACTGATCATCAACATGTGGACGTGCCGCCACGCGTAAGGCTGCCGTCCAGCAGCCAGAAGGGTCGCAATGGCGTCCGAAGGGCGACTCGCCGGCCAGTGAGCCCTTGACGTTGGGCGTCGACATACGTGTTCCCACGGTCTGCGGGCTATGCAATTTGAAGGTGCTGTTGCGGCGGCTGAATGGCGTCAAGGAAGACACAGAAGTAGCTGACTGCTTGGCGGGCGGGTGGTGTGTGCACTGCGTGTCTGGTGGCGTGTGCGTCATTTCTGCTGGTGCATGATGTAGTGCATGACAATGATCTGGCCCAGATTCACCCACTCATTCTTCTGAGCCCCTGCCTAAGGGAAAAGACATTGTTAGTGAGGTGTGGCAATTTGGAAGGGAAATCATTGCTGCCTCCATTTGTATCTGTCGGTGATGGTGATCAGCCCGTAGCTGTGTCTGCAGTGCCTGCATGATCAATTCTCTTCGCTCCTAGCTGAGTCCTTGTTGAGTGGATGTCGATGTGTGAGTGAGGGAGACCAGTGGGAGGGAAAGGAAACGTTCCGCCAGTTAGCGACCCGGGCCCATTGCAAACTTCGGCTAGAACATCAATGTCACAATCCCTGCCACTATCGTTCAAGGCTTCGCTTCCCTAATCGGCATTTCACGTTTCTCGGGCCTAAAATTTCCCGTGAAACGTTTTTTTCAGCATCCACACACACACACAGATTCTTTCGTTCGCACAACAGCATGGACGAAATCCTCACGATTTGCTTCGTATTTTTCGGGGCGCCGGCCCTCACAACCATATTGTACCCGTAAGAATGCACAGCGGATGTGGGGATGGATGAGATGCATCTGCACGTTGATGGTAAGTATGTCATGCCGTCCGTCCTTATTTGCATATGCATTCAGCATAAATCGCCAAGAGCAGTGGCCGGACTGCTATGAAGGCTATGAGGGCTATGAGGGTGAGCCACTGGAGGGTGAGACCATCATGCATTCACAAAAGAGGAGAGAGATCCTGTGGACAGCAACCATAGTGCGTGTGTATGTGTTGTGTGCTGCAGACGACGAGGGCGTAGAGAGCCGCTGCTGTAGAGGCATTGCGGGCATCTATTGCAAGGGGGAGGGCAAGAAAACCGACGACCCGCCCGCGAGTGTGCCGGTGACCTGTGAGGCGCCCGTGCTGCGCAACACCAAGGCTTCTCTTCTCAACTCGACTGTGACCGGCGAATGGGTGCCTGTGCCTGATGAGGGCGGGCTGCCTCCCAGCAGCGCCTTCAGCTACACGGTCGGGATGCAGGTCGCTTACGAGTGCGTCCAGGGCTACCGCAGTGACCACCCCATCACGGCGGTCTGCACCAAGGAGGGCATCTTCGAGTATGACGAGAAGGACGAGTGCGTCCCCATCTCGTGCCCTTCGTCCGACACGCACAACCAGCCGCACCGACGGCAGACGGGCCACTCCTACCATGTGGGCGACGTGGTAACCTTCTCGTGTGCCGAGGGCACCCTCAATGGCCCCAGCGACATCACATGTGAGCCGTCGGGAATGTGGTCGTCTGACCCAACGGACATCACCTGCACAGCCATCTCATGCGATGCCATCGACCTCAACGCCACACGGGGGCGGCGCCAATCGCTGCAGCAGATAGCCCCGTTGAGCAGTGAGGGAGGCCTCTGGACACTGACGGCGGCGGCGTGGCGCGAGGCGCCTGTGAGCGACGAGGCGTCTGAGGAGGACAAAGCCGTGCAGATCATCATGAAGG